AGTTAAAAGTAACTAAATTTGAATATGAGTTTCATGCATTCAAGGATTTCTAATAATGAGATTTAGGGTAATTATAATGCATCGAGTCTTGGTTTAAGACGTTGGGTGAGATTAAGGGTATTAACCACTTTATCTAGACCGTTGGCAGTTTGAAAAAGTTATTGGGATTGTCAACGATTTGAATAGCTTATCCCTTTCCAACACATTCCTTTCCTCCAACACTTTTCTTTTTTGCATTTAAGGACAAGACTCATTTCCTATAATACAATTCCATTTGTTCTAAGTCTTAATTTATGTGGTTTGCTCACTTATGGTCCTAAGAGGTGGACAAAGTCAATTATACATCTCGTATTGGTTAACGATAACATAACACTATATTATAAGAAAAGTAACTAACTTTAAAGGTAAGTTGCATGTATTCAACAATTTCTAGTAATGGATTTTAGGGTAATTATAATGCACCAAGTCTCGGTTTAAAACATTGGGCAAGGTTAAAGGTTTGACCACTTTATTCAGACTGTTGATGATTTGAAAAAGTTATTATTATTGTCAATGGTTTGAATAGCTTGTTCCTTTCCAAAATATTCCTTTCTTTTGACACTTTTCTTTTTTGTATTTGAGGATAAGACTCACTTCTCGTTATACAATTCCATTTCTTGTGAATCCTAGTTTTTGTGGTTCACTCACTTAGGGTCCCAAGAGGCAAATGAAATGAATTATGCATCTCACATTAGTTAATAGTAACATAATAATATATTATCCATAAATTATTAACACATTAGTTAAAAGTAATTAACTTTAAATGTAAATTGCATATATTCAACGATTTCTAGTAATGGAATTCAGAGTAATTTTAATGCACCGAGTCTTGGTTTAAGACTTTGGGCAAGGTTTAGGGTTCTAGTCACTTTATCTAGACCATTGACGGCTTGAAACTATTATTGGGATTGTCAATGGTCTAAATAACTTGTTCATTTCCAGAACCTCCCTTTCCTCCAACACTTTTCTCTTTTGCATTTAAGGACAAGACCCACTTCCCATAATATGATTCCATTTCTTCCAAATCCTAGTTTATGTGGTTCACTCACTTAGAGTCCTAAGAGGCTAATGGAGTCAATTATGCATCTCACATTGGTTAATATTAACACAACAAAATATTATCCTTAAATCATTAACACATTAGTTAAAAGTAACTAATTTTGAAGTTGAGTTACCTAGTATTTAATGGTTTTTGGAAGTGGAATTCAGAATAATTAAAAATGCATCAAGTCCTAATTTAAGATGTTGGCAAGGTTAAGTGTTTTGGCCACTTTATCCAAACCGTTAACAATCTAAAAAAGTTATTGGGATCATTAAGGGTCTAAATAGCTTATTCATTTCCAAAACCTCCTTTTTCTCCTATACTTTTCGTTTTAGCATTCAAGGACAAGATCCACTTCACATAATATTATTCTATTTCTTCCAAGTCCTTGTTTATACCATTCACTCACTTAGCGTCCTAGAAGGAAAAATAGAGTTGATTACCCATGTCACATTAATTGATGGTGACATAAACATGTATTATCCCTAAACCATTAACTTGTTAGTTGAGAGTAACTAATTTTGAAGTTGAATTGCATGATATTCAATAGTTTCTAGTATTAGGAATAAGGGTAATTATGATGCACTGAGCCCTGATTTAAGGTGTCAAGTTGGTGGAATGGTTTTGGCCACTATCCAGACCATTGACAGTCTGAACATTTTATTTAGATTGATTGTCTTCCAAATATTTTCCCACATTTTGGCTAACAAATAAAATAATTCAATTTGAAATTTCATAAATATTCATACCAATTTTGCTCTAGATATGTTTTCTAAGTTTTTTATGCAAAAAATTTTAAATGGAAAATTCCAAAATTTTTTGGGATATCTAGACCAATTTCGATTCAGAATGGTTAATCACTAAAATAATTGAATCATTTTTCAGCTCCGCTAAATTTCAAAATTTTTTATTTTAGACTGGTTTCAGTCCATATAAGTTGCTTATTTAA